ACTAAGCTTGCAGTTGTTGCTGTTCAGGTTGCTATCTGTTGCACCTTGCTTTTTGGGTGCTTTAATTTTCGGAGATTCACTGGGGGGCTCGGTTTGTTCGGGAATTTCCTGCTCCTTGATGGCAAAACTGGGGCTTTTAGGGCTGGGGAAAATCTCGCTGGAGTCCAAACTCTTTGATTTCCCGAATTTTTTCAGCTGCTCACTCTCGGCCTTCGGGTTGGCGCGTTGCCTCAACCGGCTCTGTCTTCTTTTGCTCGCGTCTTTTTGATTGCTGACGAGAATCAACCTGGAAGACGAGAAACTAAGCGACAACAGACGCACAAAAATAGAAGCGAACCTTTTACTGAGATTGTCTCCCTGACTGAGCCCAGCCAGTCTTGGGGGGACCATCTGGGCGTCCACCATGTCCAGATAGCCCACGCTGCAACTTCTAGGCATTATTCCTGCGGGGGGTTAGCGAATTAGCAGGAGAAATTGAGTGTTGGAGTTCCTCACTTGTTTTGTCTTCAGTTGCCATCACCTTGCTCGAGCCGTCTTCACGCTTGGAAGCCGAGTGGACCGGTTGGCTGGAACTGGCCTCAGCTGCCTGTTTTCTTCCCGCCGTGGACTTCTGATCTCCAATGTTGAAGCTGAAGTCTTTTCTGCTGTTGGCCAGTTCAAAGCTGGGCTTTACCTGCGATGGAAGCGCAAAGTTAAACATTGCAGAAAAGCCCGCGTTGCCAGCCTCACCTGCAAAGTAGCAGCACTCGTGGTCGAATAGGAGATTATAGTAGGGGCAGAGGGCCGATCGAAGATGGTATCACTAGGAGCCACCGCGTTTTTAGGCGACTGGAGTGCAGGCACTGAAACCTCGCAGCAAATAGGCGAAATGGCGTGTTTTTGGTTTTGGCCCCCGGGTTTGCCTAAAGTCCCAAAATCACTCTCTCTAAACGTCGCCAAGCGGAGCTACTCACTCAACGGCCCAATAAAACTGGTCGAATTTTGGCTGTTGTTTGGACGCGACAGATTCTGCGGACGGATTAAAGCTCGATCGTCACCATCCACCACCAGGCGTTTGTCTTCCCCATGGTTCTCCATGGAATTGCTGCTGCAAGCTTCCGAGCTCAGGTGGGACTTTTGCCGGTTTAAGGCGACGGTTCGTGGAGACATTGGCGCTATTGGTGGGCAACTTTCCATATTCATCCTAAATGTTTGAAGGAGAGGAAAATCTTCAGTCGCTTAGCTTTAGCTACCTGGAGCATTTGGTCTTTTCCTCCGGCAGGTCAGCGGCTGGATCCTCCTCGTCTTCACTGAACAAGTTGGGGTTGAACGTTGGGTCGGGAACTATGGGGAAGTCGTCCCGAAGTTCCGTGATCACTGCAAAAGGGTGGTATAAATGGGGCTTTGATAGGGCTGGAAGGGGCGTACCTAAGGTCATTTGGCGGGGCTGCAAATGCAGCAGGGAGGTTTTGTAAGTCACCTTGCCCAGATTGGACGGAACCACCCCGCTGGCCAGGCCATGGATCTTGAACTTGGTAGCCCAAAGATTGGAAGTGACTTCAACCAGACGCGCTTGCTGCAAGGGATTTAACAGTGAACTAGTCCAGACTTGACCCTCCAGTACCTCCGGAAGAGTGTCCACGTAGCTCAAGGGGGGTTGCTCGAACTGGATGTAGTTTCGGTAATAGTGGGAGATGGTCATTTGCCTCCAATTGCAGAACCGGTTCCTTCTCCAGTTGGTCCTCTGCAGCAGTGGCGAGGCAGGCCACAGCTCCTCCTTCTCTGAGTCGGAAGAATCGCTGATTCCCCCGCTGGCGTTGGCTGTTGATGGCGAGGTGCTGGACGAACTCTTGGACTTGGATGGGGAAGAGTCTGCTGCTCCTGGAAGCAGTCGTCAGCCAACCAGTGCCCAGGCCGCAGGCCTGTTTACTAACCGTCCACTTGAGGGTCAAAAATGACAAACTCCGGGCAAATTTTGCTGGTTCTTTTGCCCTTGAGCAAGGGCACTAGTCCTCCCAGATACTCCAAGTATAAAGTGTAGCAAATGCCTGTGGAGTTGTTAATGTCCTCGTCGTGCTTGATCATGGTGCAGTGTAGACGCACTGAGCCTGTGGGAGGTCTGGAGACGAACTCCCTCAGGGCGCTCGGTTCTGGAACGCAACACTAAAAAGCAAAGTAGTCTGGGTAGTTTCAGTCGAGTCATCGTGCTCACCCTGATGGTTTGAGTGTAAAGGTTGCCGATGATGTTCCTGATCCGCAGGGGCAACGGGAGTCGGCTCAGCATCGCCTCGGACGGAATTAAGTTGAAGAGTCGAATTCTGGAAAGGAGCTGGAGGGAGGGAATGCGCTGCGCCACCCAGGCAATGTGGATTTGGCACCCCGTGGCCAAAAACAGCCTCTTATCGTTGTGGCCCCATGTTAGAGTGGAGACTCTGGCCTGAAACGTTCGACCTTCCATAGTGGAGGAATGGGAGGACCGTCCCTGCATATTCACCTGGGTGTATGGAATCCGCACCTGATGCAGCAACACGCCCTTATAGGAGTAGAGCTGCAGCATGTTGGTGTACTCCATTAGAGGCCCCAGAGTGGGAGATTCCTCCGTTATGCCGGCCACCGCCAGCAGCTCTCTGGAATTGTTCCACTCCATGCAGAGCGGCCCTTGCAGGCCGGTTTTAATGTGGATGGGAGTGACATCATCAAAAGTGCTTAGAAGGTAAACGTAGCCGTTTTGTAGAGAAACCGCCAGCAAAAACGCTCGTTTGTCGCCTGCAATTGAAACGTGTCCTAAGCGACTAATGGGACTGACTGATCAATTGAGAGTGTCCATTTAGTTTTGCAAGTTACATTGGACATTCGCCAGAGGGAGGTTTCCCAGTTAAACCTCCAACGGTGTCCAAAGTTCCGCAGTTTTAGGATTTTTGATCCGACCACAACACAAGACATGAAACACAGCACACCGACTCAAACCTGTAGGTACCTTTTGAGTAAAACCGCCTACTTTTATTGGTACCTGAGCGAGAGTAGGTGAATTCGTTTTCTTCCATTTTAAACTTCTCGCAGGACCACGCCATTGAGGTGATGCTGATATCGGCACCCAGTTGCACTTCGGACACCATCGCCCCATGGACGTCCATTACAACGATTTGTCCGGCGTTGGTGCCAAAGTAGACCTGCTGGTCATCCGGTGTCCAGATGCCGCAGGTTATTGTGGAGTCCACACTTAGCATGGACGACCAGTAGCGTTGCCCAGCTACTGAGCCCACCAGGACGAAGCCATCCTGCAGGACAATTTTTCTTGGGTATTTTACGCAAGTTTAGGACGGGAGTCCCACCTGGTAGCAAATGAGGGCCATTCTTCCATCATGCGACCATGCAAAGTGCGTCACCGGAGTGCTGCGGTCGTTTATCAGCTCAATGGACCATCTGCCCTCGTATTTAATCCAGACAAAGATCACTCCAGAGCTATCGCAAGATGCCAGTTTCTGGTATGGTTCGTTCCATTTCACCAGGATGATCTAGAAGGGTTAAGCGTTTGTGGTCATTGCTTGAAACTGATGAGGTTTCAGGCAGTGAGTGGGGCTCAGAAATGCGTGGTGGGCACAGAAAAGTGGGCAATTTGACCGAAGACTGAAAATCCGCATTCGTTTGGAACTTTCGCATTTTGGGTGAAAAACAGAAACATTTCCGGATTGTAAATTGTAAAGGGGGCAAACTTCCCATTGTGTTAGAAGCACCAGCATCCTTACTGGTCATCAATTGAATAACCAGATTTATGGGTTTTAAGCAAATGGTCATTTTTTCAAAAAATCGACCCCCACCCTTAGAAAAATTTGTCTCTGGTGACGTGTTTCCGGATACACTTCAACCTGATCGACCAATCGCTTGTCGTCTCTTTGAATACAAGACCTCTACCATGGCAACGAGTGAATACAAACACATCAAATTTGAAATCAGCTGTCAGTGAAGAAGTAATTAGTGCAATTGAAGTTGTAAATGAGCCGGTTTTTACACGTTCGTTTTGGAAAAAGTGTCTTATTTGTTGGAATTGTCTCTCGAATGATTGAAGGACCCGAAAATGTGACATTAAACTAGAAAATTAGCGATTCTAAAGGAAATGTTGACGATTTTTGCGACTTAATCGTTGGTGTGATATTAAGGGTGGCAAGTTTTCAAATTGAGACCCGGTATATTGGAAAACAAGAGCATTCTACAGGGTGACCAAGGTAAGAGTGCGTTACATCTGAACCTTCTAGCATGTTTTTTAATCAGTTCGATGCATTCTTCGCGTCCATGAGCTGAAAATATCGTAAAAGTTAAGACATTTTGAGAAAATTTTCATTTTTTCAAAAAATTGTCCCCCACCCTTGGAATAATTTCTGCCAAAAATCGAAATTTCACTAACACCCATTCGTCAAAAAATAATTTCTTCCACAAGGAATATTTTCTGCATTAAATCAGTACTTTTCCGCTTTCGAAGAAATCAACAACCTTCGTCGCTTAGAAACCGTCTCTGGTGACGTTTTTCCGAATACACTTCAACATGATCGACCAATCGCTTGTCGTCTCTTTGAATACAAGACCTCTACCATGACAACGAGTGAATACAAACACATCAAATTTGAAATCAGCTGTCAGTAAAGCATTAATTAGTGCAATTGAAGTTTTAAATGAATCGGTTTTTACACGTTTGTTTTGGAAAAAGTGTCTTATTTGTTGGAATTGTCTCTCGAATGATTGAAGGACCCGAAAATGTGACTTTAAACTAGAAAATTAGCGATTGTAAAGGAAACGTTGACGATTTTTGCGACTTAAATCGTTGGCAGGATATTAAGAGTGGCAAGTTTTCAAATTGAGACCCGGTATATTGGAAAACAAAAGCAATCTACAGGGTGACCAAGGTAAGAGTGCATTACATCTGACACTTCTAGCATGTTTTTTAATCAGTTCGATGCATTCTTCGCGTCCATGAGCTGAAAATATCGTAAAAGTTAAGACATTTTGAGAACATTTTCATTTTTTCAAAAAATTGACCCCCACCCTTGGAATAATTTCTGCCAAAAATCGAAATTTCACTAACACCCATTCGTCAAAAAATCATTTCTTCCACACGGAATATTTTCTGCATAAGATCAGTGCTTTTCCCCTTTCGAAAAAATCAACAACCTTCGTTGCCTAGAAACCGTCTCTGGTGACGTTTTTCCGAATACACTTCAACCTGATCGACCAATCGCTTGTCGTCTCTTTGAATACAAGACATCTACCATGGTAACGGGTGAATACAAACACATCAAATTTGAAATCAGCTGTCAGTAAAGCATTAATTAGTGCAATTGAAGTTGTAAATGAGCCGGTTTTTACACGTTCGCTTTGGAAAAAGTGTCTTATTTGTTGGAATTGTCTCTCGAAGGATTGAAGGACCCGAAAATGTGACTTTAAACTAGAAAATTAGCGATTGTAAAGGAAACGTTGCCGATTTTTGCGACTTAAATCGTTGGCAGGATATTAAGAGTGGCAAGTTTTCAAATTGAGACCCGGTATATTGGAAAACAAGAGCAATCTACAGGGTGACCAAGGTAAGAGTGCATTACATCTGACACTTCTAGCATGTTTTTAATCAGTTCGATGCATTCTTCGCGCCGTGAGACGGAAATGATGTACAATTTAAGACAGTTTGAGGAAATTTCACATGCGTGTTTTTTGAGCTTAAACGGTTCGTTTCGACGTAAGAAAGTGAGAAATATGAATTTACCAAGTGTTTGGGTCAATAATAAGAAAGACATCGTCGGCTAAAGATCGTGAACGCTCAAGAACGCTTAAAATGTCCCGAAAACGTCTATTATTTCAGATCTGAAACTTCTAGCATGTTTTTCCATTGAGTTCGATGCATTCCGTGCGTCCGTGACCTGAACGTGTTAACTTGAAATGTTTGCATTTTGCGTTAGAATCAGAAACATGTTTTTCTAAATTGATGTTTGATCCAAAAAGTGCGTATTTTATTTCGATATGTTAGAGCTTCCTTTACAGATTTACGTAAACTTCTCCATTAATATCAATAAGCATTAAATAAAACTTAATACTGCTTAAGATAAAAAAAATCAACTAAAAAAGGTGTTGCACCTCTGATCTGTGGCCCCGCAGATTATAGTTAGTCCTCGAAGGAAACTCCACGTTTTTCTTGCAATGGCTGGTAGTAAAAGTGATTCCCACAATACCACGAACGTTGCCAGTTGCCAGCCAACCTTCCTGATAGTAGTTGGTTCTGTTAAGCTTCCAGGCTTCTTCCTTAAATGATATCAAGCAAAAAAAACATTCTCAATTGACTCATTTTATTTTCCAATAGACTCGAAATAAAAGCTTCTAGATGTGTACTTAGTCGTCAATTTGTCACAAAATCGAGATAAAAGTAGCTGCACCCTAAGCCCCAACTGGGAGGAAATGCAAGCCATTAATCACAGGAAATTATTCAGTTACAGCCCAATTGCTCGTAGCGGCAACTTTCATCAATATTCCGCCCGATTGACTAGTTATTACGAGTCGTTAATTACATAGGAAATGAACTTCAATCAGACGAAAAGCAATTTTGCTTAAAATGCCCTCAAAAAGTCCAATCAAAGCAAGTTTCTTACAACTGTTGCTTTACTTACCTCCGCCAATTCATCGGGTACTTTTCCCATCCAAGTCAAAGACAGAATGCGACAATCGCTTTTCGCGTTCACAGTCCTTTCAAAGTGCAGATGCATTTTGCCTCAATTTACACGCAAAACTTAGCTGGGTTTAGAACGGAAAGTTCCCCATAAGTGAAACTGGTGCTGAATAATAATTTGGACAGCAACTGAAGAATTACGGAAGCTTTTAGGGCAATTTTCTACTGATTTTCAGTTATTTGCTTTTAAAAAGACTAAGCCTCCCTTGGATTCTTTAGAACGTCGATTTTAGGCTAGTGTCTCTTTGCTCAGATATTGGCCTACATACTTGCTTCAAAAACAATTAACTAGCGACCACTTTCACTGTTGCGACTGCTGGAAAACCTCGTCCACTTTCCACTTCACCGGAAAAGGCCATCATTCACTAGCCCACATTTTCACCATTTTCCGCAGATCGGGAAAAATGGTAACACGCCACCCGGACACTGTTCAAAATCGATTTACGCCTTAGTCGGAAAATTCAAAGAGCTGCTAGGCGCCGAGTTGGCGCAATTTCCGGGGCCGGAAAGCGCACACGCTGTTCCCGGAGTTTCCCTTGCCAGATTTTCAAGAAATCCGCCTTCTATCTCCAATCTACTGCCGGGAATCGCCAGCTGAATTATGGAGATTGGGGTCGAATGTGAACAACAAACAGGGGAATGAGACGGCAGTTTTCCACATTTGCCCAACTCGAATATTCATTAGCGGCAAAAACAATCGCTGTTTTGGGAGGGAAATCAAACAAAGCATGATCTGGAATTTACTCTATTGTATCACAACTTTCAGACAGAGATCACACATTTTACCATTCATCTAGCAAGTACACCACTTAAATTGCCTTAGAGTGTCTTAAAGTACATTATTACAGCACGTTAATACTAAATTTTAACATATAGTCAAATAGCAATAATAATTGAGTGTGAGATTGAGTTTTACATCGATGTGGGAGACCAAAAGTTCATCTCCCTCAACTCCGACGGTTTGGCCTGGAAAGCCGGGCTTTTATGCTTGAAATCGTCCATGCTGGCAGTAGAAGCGGCCCGCTCCAACTCCTCCTTCTTCTCCTCGCCAATGAACCCCATGGACTGAGAAAACTCCCTCTTGGCCAGCAGACTGGCCAAGATCCATCCCTTGGACTTGTCAGCCTCCACATAGGGACTGGTGAAAAACTTGTTCATCCTCCTCCTGCTCTTGGGCGACGAAAGCGGTGAAGCAGGAAGAGACTTGCTGCCTCTTCGCCTATATGGATCGAACTTTGCCAGCAGTTGCTCGCATTCTTCAGCAGGTTCGGGCCTGTTTTCCGGCAGCCGTTTTCCAGACACTATTTGACTGGCCACTCTCAGAATGGAGTTTCCGACTTGCGAGGCTTCGCTTTTGAATCCGTCGTCAGTGCCTTTCGGTCTCGGCTTAGTGAAATGTTCACTTTTTGCGGAAATGTGACTGAAATCGGTTTTGATCGGTTGACCGGTCGATGCTTCCACCATTTTCGTGTCTGTTGTTTTGTCATTTTTCATTGTTGACTGACGGTAGTAATGCATAAAGCTATCATCGAGCTCTGGCGGAGAAAACGTGCTCTGGTCTAGGTCAAACCTGCAACAAATAATATCGATTAAACATTTTGCAATTTGAGCCTAGAAAAATAAAAAACGAGACGTTGCTTCAACAGTGAAAACAGAATTGCCGCAACATTTGACCCTGTAAAATGCAACCGAACTTGGGAAATCGGCACCCGAAGATGAGTTTTATTTGCGCATTTATTAGCAAGCGAATTGATAAACCATTCCAAACATTCATTAGGTAATCCTTAATCAACCACGCGCTTCAGATGGCATCTTTACATTAGTTTCGGGTCACGCAGATAACGGGCATTCCAATGACCACATAATTTTTTTGATTCGATTTCAACTAGACAGAGGTCGTTTCCATGCAATCGTTTTTAAGTAAAAAGCCGAAAAAGCAATAATCGAATGAAATATACGTTTACATCGCAATAATTTGGATAAAAACGGGATTTTTCTGCGACGATATCGGCTAGCAGGTCTATAAGATAATATCGATGAACGAGTAAAAACTCGAAACATTTCTTAATGGATGTTTTATACGAAAAAGTGCGTGTTTTAATGCTCTATCCTGCAAGGGCAACTGGGGCTTTGCAGCTCAACCGGTTCTCTAAATATGAGCAAAAGGCTAAGGGCGGTTTTCAAGATCCGCGTTAATTTTTAATTTTCCCATTTTGCAAGAAAACCAGAAACATTTCAAAATTAAAGTTTAATATTAAAAAGTGCGCTCTGAAGCAGCTGCACCGGTTGGCACAGCCAAAAAATGAACAATCGTACAATAAAATATGAGTACGTTTACAGCACAATTCCTAGGACGATAAGCGGAATTTTTGCCACGATATCAGCATGCAGGTCTACAAGATAATAACGATGAACAATGAACAGAAAAACCCAATGAGGCTGAAAAACAACAACAAGCAACCGGCAACAAGGAGTGTAACCCTGGACTCTACATTATCCAAGTTTTTCTTAGTCAGTTCAGAAATTTATCAGTGGCATCTTCATCTAGACTTCGTTACAAAAAGGCAACATTAAAGAGAATTAAAATATTCGAAGTTCTTTCGTTGGTCGCACAAACCCGCAAAACTCCCAGTTCCAACATAAAACAGTGTTAACACAAACTAACTAAACCTACCTAGTACAAGCAGCAGTAAACCGCTGGAACCCATTCATGTTTAGTTGAAATTGTATCACAAGCCTGTGGTAAGTGCACAAAGACACAATCAACCAACCAACAAGACAGCACAGCACTGAACACAAGAAGCGTTGAAGATCGCAATGAACACTTACAACAGTAGAGGTTGAGGCACGAGCGCACTCACTAGAGATCGATTGATGAATGATTCAACATTCCAGATTCGTCGTGAGTTGCACAGCTGTTTATATCATTGTGACGACAGAAAAACTACTACGTCAATGGTCGGGCTGGATTGGCCACAGATATGGGCTCGACACAATGGGAAGGTTGAATAATATTTTTCAAAAAAAAGTGTCTATACAGGGTGTCCTTGTTCTCGCTTTGCGGCCAGTTGAAAGGCACTGAAAGCGTATACTTTTACAAGTACAGGCATATGGCGGAAAGGGCCTGGTCGAAATATTTAGCGTTCTAAACTTCCGGTCGAAGGACCACACAAAAAATCAATTGGAAGAAGATTAACTTGGACATGGAAAAGTGCCAAGAATGAGGATAATACGTACAACGTGACTCCATAAACTGGTTAGGACGAAGCTCAACTTTTGTCTATGGTTCGATAGTATTCAGATAAAAGGGGCATTCAAAGCTCATAAAAGGCCATTTAAATTCAATCGGATAATTTAAAGACCATTTTCCTTACTTCGTTATGGCAAATTAATTGCATTTCGGAGAAGATTATGTTGCTCCCAGTGTTTATTTAGGTCTGTTTACGAGCAAATAGTGAAACCCAGTCATAAGGCTGCGACGTCATCAATGTTATTATCAAATTGAGTAGTTGGCAGTGTGTGTTTTTAATAGCTGGCCTATTTTGATGAAGGAATTCTAGATGCACTGCATGCTTTTAAACATAATCGGGTGAACTGGAAGCCGACAAACCAGTGGAAAATGTAAAGTAAAAACGGCCATTTCGGGGAAAAGTTTCACGCAAAATTGATTAGAAACTGATGAGGGTTTCCTTCCAAGTTTCAATTAGTGTTAAGTCTGATTGGGAAACTTCACATTAACAATCAAACACAGATGAGACAAGATACAACCAAAATTCTAACTTCTAATGACTCAATTAAAACTCACTCATCATTCGTTGCGTTGTCGTTTTTCTGATCTCTGATTTGACCGCAAAACCACCGATTTTGTAAATATATTTATGTATTGCAAACGGATGCTAAACGATCATGCTTGCACAGTGTGAGATACGTAAAATGTGTGACAAAAAGCTCGCATTAAAATCAGCTGGCTAGAACACTGGGGAGCATATTTAATTGATGGTTTATTAGATTACAACTGGCGGTTATCCAAATGCAAATTAAACTAGTGCGAACAGACAGAAGCGTTTTATCACGCGGTGAATTTCCACTCGGGGAAATTTCTAAATGCATTCAGGCAACGGAGACAAACAACAGGCAAAAATGGCAAAATCAAACGATTCTGATAAACGGCCAGACTGCTGGGAAGCCATTGGTCATCTGGATTTAACAGCTCTAGTGGTTAAAGTGCACCGTTACCGCTCACCCACTAGCCATGTGCAAGCTTTTAAAACAATAACAATGACAAAACAGTAGCAAAATAAAGCAAAACCGGCAACAATCGATAAGTAGATCATCAGGACAAAGCGGAGGCTGAAAACGGGTAAACAAGCCCAACAGCCTCATATAAATGAGGCTCAAGGTGATTTTTGTGTCCAATCCAGCTTTTTGATGTTTAGGCAGGAAAAGGCTATTTGCACGTCAATAAAAGCGCGAGTATGTGAAAAACTTGGCAGCTCGCTGGTTTTATAATCAACAACAAAGAGGTCAAACGTCGCATGATATGGACGAGAACTTCCTTGTCCACCGTCTGGATCGGTTTATTGCGTGTTTATACACCAAACCTTAGTGATCAATGACGAACTCATTTCCAAGCCAGAAATCATATATAAAAAGTAACAATTAATGTATGAGTATTGATAACAAATGAGATTGAATCAACTGGACGGAAAAAGCAACGGCTCTGTGTGCATCTGCCTCAGTGGCTTAGTTCAGTTTATTTTTCGTTCAAATACATCCAAAAACACCCACACATTAAATTCTGGTAAAACAACTTGAAAACTTTCAGCCTTTTAACTAAAAATTGCCGTATTTTCAAGCCAGCAAACTAAATACGTCGTGCAAAGTTCTACGCAAAAGATCTGAAAAACTGTACAAACAGATCAAACAACAATCACGCCCACTTTTCGAAAAGGTCACAGACACCCGTCTTATGAGTGCAACCAAATCGTATTACTGACTTATGTTTATTTTATATTTTGTTATACCTGGAAAGTTAATTTTGGATCGTTTTTAATGACTGATTAGCAATTGAAAGCATGTGAATTCCGGATACCACAAGAAGAATGGTTAAACAGCTACTTACCAATAAATCGGACCGAAATCATCACAGTTTTTATTGGTTTATTCAAAATTAACAAACGCCGAAACATTTCAAATTGACGGCTGTTTAAATAATTGGTCTCAACACATCTATTTTTCTAATTTATATAGGGATCACCTGCATTGACGTCAGATACCAAATAAACACTGTAGATGTCTGTTAATGTTAATGCAAACGTGTAAAACATCGTAAATTCATATCGATCAGGATTTACAACCTAATTAAATACGTATGGATAAGAGATGAGATGGTGGGCGCATTTTCGCAGTACACCAGATTCTAAAATGAACTTTCAAGAATAGTCAAGAGAAAACTCCATATTAAATGAGAAGCCGGCCCTGTTGCCCACAGTGGAAGGCTTAATTAACGGAAGTACTTGGCTGATGCTATCTTTGTCTGATGGATTGCGTGCAATCTCTTTAGCTCACTCTAGTCTCGGTAGGACGCTGTGGTGGACACACAGAGTTGGACTGGGTTTAAATCGTTTAGTCCAGTCTGTTGATTAGTCACAGGATTGAAACGAAATTTAATGCGGTTTTGACTTCCAAAAAATCCCCCATTTTTCCACAACGAAAATAATCCAGCAACTCCGAGCAGGCAACTGCATAGAAGCGCTCAAAACGCATCAAAAGTTTGTCTTCATTTTCTTCTTAAAATGACCGCTAAGCTATGGGCGGTTGATCAATTTCTCGTCAAATTTTTGTGTGTTTTGCACATAAGGACTGATAAAAGTCTATCACAAGCTGGACAGGTTGAAGATAATTTGATGCAGAAGTTCTGACTAACACTTCAGTAGGAGAAAAACGAGCCAAACACTTTTACTTAACAGTGTTTCGTTTAAATAATCTGTAGTAAAGATATGGACATTTCGATAGGGATTTGGAGCGTGAGTTTTTCTCCCTAGTTCAGTGAATGATTTTTTGGGGCAACTTCTGTACCAATTATTTTAGGCGAAAAAACCATCAGCACCCATTTTCTTCCGACTGAAGTACAAAAGAATTTCTCCTGCTCCGTGTTTTACTACTAAATGACCGAAGAATACCACAATTATTTTAAAATAATTCCAGTTCAAACAAAGCAAATTGAAAGCAATCACAAATTAGAACGGACTAGCAAAACTTGATAAAACTGGTTCGTGATCCAAGGCCTGATCTAACATTTAAATTGGGATTATTGCCAGGCATTTGGCAAAAGCGGCTGGATACCAAATTCGCTTTCTAAAAAACTGTATGCTGTGCGATAACGTAGAAATTATAAAATCACGACAGACTAATATAGATTATGCCCACCTAGACAATCGATGTAATAAACCAGCTTTGTTTGATGCGGATAAGCGACGAAGCTTTAAACCTTCACTCGGATTGAATCTGATAATCCCAATACACAATGGCGGTAAATTGTTTCTTTAGTTAATCCAAATTGTGTGGTTCTTTGCAACGAAACAATATAAGTTCCTGTACTGCGTTATTAAGATAATGGGGTCATGAACGCACAGCCAGTGAGGAAACGAACTAACAAAGACTTTGCAGTCTAAGTAAAGGCCAAAAAGATGAAGCTTAATACAGGTTGAATGAACCATTTGGCTGAGGCCCCCTTTGTTTCATCCCCACACCTACTGGGCCAGACTTTTGCTTTCGTTTTCCCATGGATGATGACAGAATCTTTGCAATTGGGTCAGCAGAATTTAGAGAATGTTGATGCGGTGCATTGCAGTTACAGCATTCTTGATTGCTGCTTAATTACGCTCAAGTGGTTCGAATATTCCTAACTGTTACCCGGCAATAACTGATAGCTTACCTATCGTTCATTCTGCTCTTCATCCACTTGGGGAAGGACATTCCAGATTTCAAAGTCCGATCTTCTTGAGTGGTCATTATTTTAACAAGCACAATGCGTATTGCTGCTGGTTTAAGTAGAGTAACTTTAATTGCTGTATGAAGCTTCAAATCGATTATTGCAAAAACACAACGGATAATTGGTATTTGAGTATGTGTTAAAATTAGTATGCTTGTTCTGTGAAAACAAACGGCTGTGCTCTCAAGAGTAGGCTTTGGATATCATACTGATCTGAAACAAGAGAGGAATATACAGTTAAATTGTTGATAAGAACACAAAAAAGGCGGAAACAACATTGAAATTCTTGTTTGATGGCAGTGGCATAAACACATCAGTCTAAAGTGGGGAAAACATGCAATTAATGTAAAATGGGGGGCTTCGCTACCTTATGGAGATTGTTAAACAGATGAATTTTGCACAAAATCACACCCATTTTGTTTAATCGATGTTTATAATGACACTGAAACACAAACTGCTAAAGAAATATATCAAAACGTCCTTCAATAGTTGTCAAACGTGACACATTTACCAATAACACCAACATACTAACAGCAATTTTCCTATTGACAGACGAAAATGCACTGATATTGATTGAGTGATTGCGCGAAAAGTTGGGTTAGAGTTCCTGCAAAGCAAACCAAAATTGTTTATTTTCGTCGGCTACTATTTTGCAGGTTGAATTAGCGCTCAGCAGCCTTTAAATTTTCCACAATGTCCATCGAAATAGAATCAGCAGAGTAAGCGTGTGCCTAACCATCAAATTTCCTTTTAATGTATGTTTCCTTAGCGTTATTCGACTGATCCAGCAGTATTTGAAGGAGTCCAACCTATACAGGACCTTGCATACCCTCCAGGTAGGCCTGCGTTTATTTAACAGCGCTTTTTAAGTGAAGTCACCTTTCAGGAAGAAACCGGCGTTACCCTCAACACAGTGGACAGTGTAGATGGGTTTTGTGCAGATATCAATAATGGCCATTGGGACACTGTCCTGAAGGCCATACAATCACTAAAACTCCCTGATAAGAAGCTGATTGACCTTTATGAACAGGCAAGTGTGGGCAATTGTGTTCGTTTAACTGCTAATACGTGAATTAATTTAGATTGTTCTGGAGCTGATCGAGTTGAGAGAATTGGGGGCCGCTAGGTCCCTGCTAAGGCAAACTGACCCGATGATTATGCTGAAGCAAAACGAGCCCGAGCGATATATTCACTTAGGTAAGATTCGTCTTTGATGCAGCTTGCTAGCCTTTCTAATCTGGACATTTACGACGATTAGAAAACCTTCTGGCTAGATCCTACTTTGACCCAAGGGAGGCGTATCCAGATGGGAGTAGCAAGGAGAAGAGACGAGCAGCTATAGCACACGCTTTATCTGGGGAAGTTTCAGTTGTTCCGTCGTCGCGTTTGTTGGCCCTTCTTGGGCAGGCCCTCAAGTGGCAGCAGCATCAAGGTTTGCTCCCTCCTGGCACCACTATAGATTTGTTTAGGTATTTACTGAACCGGGGAATCTTGGCGTTTTAAACCCCGCGGATTTTGCTCCTTCATCTAGGGGCAAAGCTGCGGTCCGAGAGCAGGAAGACGAAACATTCCCAACGCAAATGGCGAAACAGATCAAATTCGGCCAAAAGTCCCATGTGGAATGTGCCAGATTTTCGCCAGATGGTCAGTATTTGGTCACTGGCAGTGTGGATGGCATTATAGAAGTGTGGAACTTCACAACGGGGAAAATTCGAAAAGATCTTAAGTATCAAGCACAGGTAAACCAGAACAATTCCTTTACTAAGTGGGTTTTTGACCTTGCTGGGGTTTAGGAAAGCTTCATGATGATGGAGCACGCAGTGCTCTGCATGGCCTTCTCCAGAGACAGCGAAATGTTGGTGAGCGGCTCGCAAGCAGGCCGGATAAATGTTTGGAGGATAAGCACCGGGCAGTGTTTGAGGAAAATCGAAAAAGCCCACACGAAAGGGATCACTTGCCTCCAGTTTTCCAGGGACAACAGCCAGGTTTTGAGCGCGTCGTTTGATCATTCCATCAGGTAGGTTCTGAACCTGCCTTGCAGCTGGGAATGCAAATTTTTTAATCTGAATAGGATCCACGGCTTGAAATCAGGGAAAACCCTGAAGGAGTTCAGAGGCCACAGCTCGTTTGTTAATGAAGTCATTTTCACCCAGGATGGACACAACATTTTGAGGTAGTGCTAAATTAATTCAAGTAGTTTTTTGTTAAGGGCCTAATTTGGCTTTTAGTGCTTCTTCAGACGGAACAGTTAAAGTCTGGAGCATCAAGACAACCGAGTGTGTCAACACCTTCAAGTCATTGGGATCGGCCGATTGCACAGTGAACAATATACATAACTTTTATAAGAATCCCGAGCATTTCGTGGTTTGCAACCGGAGCAATACTGTGGTTATTGTGAACCTACAAGGGCAGGTAAGGGATTTTTTCTGGGATATTTTGGGTGTTCCGGTAAAAGTTGCTGAATTTTTTCCAGATTGTGCGCTCGTTTGCCAGCGGTAAAAGAGAGGGTGGCAACTTTGTTTGTTCTTCAGTGTCCCCGCGAGGTGACTGGATTTATTGCGTAGGCGAAGACATGGTGCTCTATTGCTTCTCCACCGTATCCGGAAAACTCGAAAGAACCCTGAACGTGAGACAACCGTTGCTAGAATTGAAGGAATTATGCATAAACTATTTTTTAGATTCACGAAAAAGATGTCATCGGTATAGCCCATCATCCGCACCAAAATCTCATATGCTCATACAGTGAAGATGGGCTAGTTCGACTGTGGAAACCCTAATTTCATTCCTTGAGAGTGCATGAGAAATTCCCCTTATTAAAAACGAATTTGATTGGAGTTGGTTTTTGTAAGCGTTTATTCCCCGAAGAAATCCACTGTTAAAAAATCCGAGAAGAACCGGGCTTTGAATTCAAACGCGTAGGTTTGGAATTATAGAACTTTTTTGTCGCGTAGGTTTGCGCTGAACGCTTATGGCGATCTCAAGGCGTTTTGCTAAAGAACTTGAAAAATGAAGCATAAGCGATGATTTCTTTTTATACCTGAGCGAGTTGGTGTTGCGGTTTTGTGACTGTTGGCTGCGAAAAAGTAATGTGAGTTGACAAAAGGGGAATAATCCACTGTTTAGACTGATACACATTTCCAAACGGTAAGAATTAGTGCGGTGTATTTAATTTCGATTTTCTGTCCTAAATGGAGAAATCCCGCAAGTAAAAGTGTGGTTTAAAAGAACTTTTACCTTCTCTTTTCCATGTTCGTATTCACCGTCCCACGCCTTTCTTGTTTCCTCACAGTCAGGGCGCGTCATCAAACGGGCCATCCAATTGCCTTAGAAAACTGATTTTTAGCAAGTAAAATATTGACTTTTTCCCAGCGATGAAGCGCTTAGTGCTGCTGATAGCTTCCTTAGCTGCCAGCTACGGCCTTCCGCAGTCGAACTATGCGGACCAGGCCAACAATGTAGCTTACATAGGCGAAGGCCTGCCCCCTGAGGCCGTCTTGGGCGGAAAAATCACTCAACTCGACGATCTGAGCCCGGAAATCAATTTAAACAAGACCAAAGCTGATCTGAATTGCGCGGCTGGATCCATGCAGGTGAGTTGAGCGCACTGTTCGGGAGGGCAAAGAAAAAGACTCATCTAACATTTCCAGATTGATCTCAAATTCAAAGAGCCCTTCTATGGAATCGTTTACGCAGACTTCGATAGGAACTCCGCTTGCCAAGTGGCGGGCAAAGGGGCCCTTAAGTACTACCTGGAGCTGCCTCTTAAAGGCTGCGGGACCAAGCAGGTGAATAGTAAAGGCGGAGGTGTATTTTTTTCATAATCCGGGCTCAATTAGGATCCGCAACGCGTGTTCACCAACAATATAGTGGTGCGATCTCATCCGGGCTTGGAAATGGATGGAGACGAAATTGTAACGATAGTTTGCCGATATCCGCCGCCGATAGTCCAAGAACCCGAACCATTCATCAGGTATTAAAAAAATCTCTCTTGCTTCATTTGCTAATAATACAAGGACAAAGTCAAGAGCGCATATTTGCATGGACTTACATAATCATATGCATTACTTATACACACCCACTTAGTGCGAGGGATATACAGAAGGATTAGAAATATTATATGGACGAAATCAATTGGTGGAACTGATTTTTCATGCAGGATTAATGCAAATGCAAATGTGTTTTAGTCCTGAAGGAATAGTGGCTCCCAGCAGTTACACGCCTCTATCGCCACTGCCGGTTCTGCTGATAATATGCGGAATCCTGTTCCTTTCGCTGTTCCTGCTTGGTTTGGCTGCGTCCTACCTCTGCCTCAGACGAAGGCCGCTGACTATAATCCGCACTCACACTCCTTCAGAGAGCGACATTGAAAAACTCTCCGAGAGCTCGTTGGGTAAGCTCCGGAAAATGCCCCCGATCGGATAAAATTTCCAAACCCTCCACAGCTTTGGCTCCGATCCATGAATCGTCCGGTTCCGAATACCCGGGCGAATCGCCCTCTGAAGTCGAAGAGCACGCCGTTGTGCACGAAAACGCCAGCTTTTCGAGCGAGGGATACGACTACGCGCAAGAACAGCAGCTTGATCAAGTCACAGCGCGACCCAGCACCATTCCTCGCCTGCCGATTGCTGTTAAGGAGGATTCTCCCAAAGTATGCCCGCAAGCGTTGCCGGAAAAGCCGCTAATTTGAGCGCGTTTGCAGTTCAGCGTGCAGGTGAAGGTCCGGAGGCCGCCGCCTCCATCTCCGCCGCTGTCCCTAACAGACAGCAAGAGCTCCAGAAGCGAGAGCTTCGCTCCCCCGCCTCCCATCCAGGAGGAGGAGGTTCTAGAGCTGGAGGAACCAGTGCCTGCAATGTCCGCGCCTATAGTAATGCACCAACCGGAGATCACCCAGCACTTTGTCGACGACGTTTACTTGAGAACCATTCAAGGTACCCATCAGGAACTTTTCCCAACACCCTTGTAGGTAACATCTGGTTACAGAAAAGAAGATAATTGAAGACATAGACCGGCAGAAGCGACAAGTCACTCAGTACCACACCGAGCCGAAGCTGCTTCCGCCTCAAGTGTGGGACGTGACCATCAAAAACTTCCCCATGCAGGCGCATCCGCCTCAATGGGAAGATTTCTCCGACATTTCTTCGGCCTCCGGTAGGAAAACGCCGGGAAATACCACAGTTGTTGATAAAAAAACAAACCTTGCAGGACTGTCCCTGACACCGAAAATGCCCCGAGTGATGAGCCTGCCGCCTCAGCCTCAAATCGACGATGACAAAATCCCTCTGAGTTCCCCCGAGCTGGTGGGCAGCATCGGGCAACCGCCGCCTCCTGGTCACAGAGTGACCATCCAGACTCCTCCTGATAGAAGAGTGATTGAAACCGATCTCAGCACCAGGAGGATGGAAACGGTGCGAGAAACCACTGAACGGGAGGAATGGGAGCGGGTTTTCAACATCCCCAAGGACAATCCTGCGGTGCCCAACTGGAGCGTCTTGATCAGGGTCCTGCAGCCGATTGAACCTGAACCGAGCCCGGTGATTGATTCGGCTGAAACCTACAACTCCCAGCTCACTCTGAGCGACAGGATGAAGTGGCGGCAGATCATCACAACCGAGTCAACATTGAAAACTCTTCTCACAGGTTTGTGTCTTAAACACCCGAAACAAGCAGGGGTTTTAGCCATTGTTTCACAGAAGCGATAGTGCGCGAAGACTTCGAGAGAATCAGCCGCGATGTGCGGTTTGAGCACATATACGAGCCGCCTAAGTGGAACGTGATCATCCGCATCCTAACTCCTGAAGACATCGGTAAGTCAACACCAACCAGCAGCGATCTGTGAGGCAATTAGGGGCGTTAATGCCAATTCCAGGCCCGGATCAGAAATACGTTTATCCGCGCCGCGGAAGTCTGCCGACGCTGCACGAATACGACTCAGACGATGGCAGCAGCATCAGAGAACCCCAGCTGTATCCTTCCACAGTCTACAGAAGGTATTAAGTCCAAATTGGAACTTTGACTAGCTTCTGGTCTCCTTTGCGCCCTCCAGGTCGATAAACAAGAGCGAAGCCGACCTGCGCTCCATGTCGGAAATGACTGTGGACTTCGGAAGATATCCGGAAAGCAGTGGGCGAAGCCAGACAGCCCCCGATTCCCCCTTTTTGGCCCTGCACAAGTCCTTAAGTCAGCCCAGCTTGGGCCGATCCATCAGCGAATTCACCGATCGAGACAGGTAAACGTTTCAAGGAAACCAGGGTTGGTTCGTAACCAGTTAAAGCGCCCCTTTGGTTGGTAGATGGATGGTGCCGCAAACGCCCAGCGAATGGACGAGCACGCCGGAGCAAACGCCGCGGCTTCAAAGGAGCCCCAAAATGAAGGCGTTCCATTTGCCAAGAGTGCGGCTGGACAGCGGCTCGTCCACAAGGAGCGGACAGGCTGAGAGCTCGTGGCAAGCAATGGAATCCAGCAGGTATTTTGGGGAATTTCGGGGCGAATTTGGGGAATAAACGGGGAAGGTTTAAGCATGGCTCAAACACCTGGAGGGACTACGACAAAGGAAGTGTCCAGGGAAGTTCGGGGGGCGACTAGGGCGAAATGGGGCAAGCCTGCGCGTCCAGGCCCGAAGGGCTGGTTTCCCGACAGTGGGAGCGAAAGCGGCTCAAAATGATCAAGCTGTTAACCACCGTAACGTCCACTAATTGCGCCCAAGATAACCAAGCCACTAACTGTGATAACATAGATGATTAAGAATGAAGTGCCGCATCAAACCAATCTCATATATTTGCCTGCTTGCTTAAAAAACTACAATATGGAATTAAATAGCGGTCATACACACACAAATCTGAGTAATGTATATCTTATAGAATAATAAGGTTTTTAAGGAACATTCTTCACCTTGATTAAATTTTCAATTCCAAAGTAGTGGAAACAGCTAACGAAACTGCTCCACATAACTTTGGAACTCGATAAATTCTTCTGTTTGAAACGTTCTTTAGTGCAATTCTTTTTCAAATTAGCGCGCCAGATAAAGTTTGTACAGGGCGAACCAATGCAAAACTGGTGAAAGTTTCGCGTGTTCTCAGTTGGACAAAAAAACTGTTTTTTGTATTTCATCCACATCACAAGCGTCCAGATAGACAGTCACATCGCAAAAAACGTGTCTGATTTTTCTGCTCATCTGGTTTATTTACAGAGTGGGCCTAAAAAAATCAAGTTTTTGGTCTTGCAGTCATAATTTTTTCTCTTAAGCGGATTTTTAAAAGCTAGAGCTCTTTTTGAAGCTAAGAATTCAGAGGCGACTGGACAGACAAATTCAATTTTGTCTCAAATCGCCCATGAAGTTTACGCTTCAACATGAGCTTTAAACCCACAAATCGTGAAACTCGGACCAAGAAAAAAAAACCGATGTTTCCAACTAGGAGCATACCGAACTTTCACCGATTTTGCATTTTCTTGTCGCCCTATAGAAAACATAGACTAACAGAACTGAAATGATGCTAAATAACGCTTTAAACAGGAACCAAATTGCTCAAAACAATCAGAACTGATCCGGTTCCAAAGTGAGGGCAAAGTTGTCTGTGGAGCTGTTTAGTTTTCATAGAAGGAAAATCACAAATACATAAAACGATTGCACGAAAAGAAAAACAACAACAGAAAAAATAACAGTCTTAGCCAGTACCGTAAAAGGGGCACTATTGCAATTGCAAAAATCACATACAGTAGTAAAAAATAAAAGTACCTGCTTCGTTGCAAATTAAATCTTAGTAACAGAAGTCAGTGCGGGCTCAGTCTCCAGAATGCATGTTAATTTTTTTAAATTAGGGAACGTATTAATTTGCAACGGCACCCAGCACTTAATCTGTAATAAACAACATCATTTATAATACTTAAAAGGGAGTATAATATAAATAAAATGAGATCTTTATACATGGCATTGAAAGTCTTGTTACATAAGGGCGACTGGGGTCTTAGTCTACCTACATTTGCGCAAAAAGTACTGTTCGCCTGGCAAGCTAGTGAGCCGTTTGCATCGCAAATATGTTCAACTATTCAGTCGATCAGGGCAATAATTATATATTTTACATATTTACATTGTCTTGTAGCCCGGCATAAATACCGGCAATTTCGCTTTTCTCGTTTGCTTGATGGAAATTGGCTAAAAGCGCGTTGGAGTTTTTATATTTATGATTATTCCTGATATGCGAGTTGAGATTGCCGCTCTGCGTAAAGGCCTTTTCGCAGAAATGGCAGCGAAAGGGCTTCTCGTCGGTGTGAAGCCGAATGTGATTGTTCAAGTTGCCCGACTGGGTAAAAGCCTTGTCGCAATACGGGCACGCAAATGGCTTCTCGCCTGCGGGAAATTTCTAGTCAATGTTAATCAGTAGGGAGCAGGAAACCTACCTGTATGAATCCTGACATGGTTAACCAGATTGCAGCTTTGCGAAAAGGATTTATTGCACACCACGCACACATAGGGTTTGTCGCCAGTGTGCGTTCTCATATGAATTTGCAAATTACTGAAAACCCATATTTAAAACACGAAATTCTTGATGTTCGGCAGGCCTTACCTGTGATTATTGAAGGCCTTTTTGCAAATCTCGCATATCAAAGTCGAGCACTGTTCTTGGTTCTCTAGCACTTGGTGCTTCATCAGGTGCGTCTTCATCCGCTTGAAGAACTTCTTGCAAAGGGGGCATTTCGCTAGGGGGCTACTTTTGCGCTTTGTATAGGGCTCTGCTGCCTTCATAGCTTCGTCTTTCGACACTAATCTCACCGGCGTTCTGCTACCTGCAAGCAATTTCAAAGATCAAAGAGCCATCTAACGTGGCTGCGTTGCCCAGACCTGTGTTCTTAGACTCGGTGGCTTTGTTAGATTTTTTACTAGTTGCAGAGTGATTTTTAAAGCCATTTCCAAATAGTTTGATCTTGAAAGTCGACGGCTGTTTTCTGTTTACGGGAAAAATTGAAATCTCTGGTTCCAGTCTAGGGGTGGAGTCATCGTTGGAGGGTTTCGCCAAGCAACTCCAGGAGTCCCTGGTTCCATCAGCCCCAAAGTTATCCTACAAAAGGGCATAGATAGGGGCGTTTTTAGCCAGGTGGTGCGCTTTATTCAATGGGGCTCAACACACATGCTTAGATCTATATCTGCTTGCTGGGTTTAGTATGGATTTATATTGGATCGAATCTGTGTCTTCTGCTAGCTAAATGTATTAATGAGAGGGAAACTCTTGAAGAAAAATGTGCGCGCCTCGCTGGATTTAGCTGCTTACTGATTCCACGCATACAAGCAAAAAGCCTGTTGGCTCTACAAGCAAGCAGGGGGTTATTCAAGCGACTAATTTGCATTTCATGGGGCTTTAAAGGCATCCCGTCCTTTGACGCACTGCAAAGTGCAAGGGAATGTGCAAGACATGCATAATTTAGGCAAAAGCCAAGTAAAGGACAATCTCACGTGGTCGTCATCCTCATCATCCTGACTGTTGATTATGACCATGGGTTCGAGGGAAGGGAAAAAATCGTCTCCCTCAAAACCTTGACTTTCCATTATGCCTGGAAATGGTTTGGAGAACGCTCCTAAAAGGCATTTACCAAATGAAACGAATGCACCAACACGGGTATGTTTATAAGCACTGGTAAGGCTTGAAGGTAGGTTTATTTTTGTTTGTTTGTGTGGAAAAACAACAAAATAAACAATGCTAGCTTGGAACCTGCGGACAGACGCCAGATTGGAAACTCACCCACAAAAGACACCGAGCACACAAAAGAACATAGGCACTCTCGCTAGAAATAACCACAGAGAAAATGATTAAAAAGAGCCAAAGGCGACTTTTTCAAAAAAA